TGGCCGGGAGCGGCCATTGCACTCCAGTCTGGGTGACAGAGTGAGACTCCAACTCAAAAATTAAATAAATAAATAAATAAGTAAGTAAATAAATAAATAGCCCTGGGCTAGTGACAGGGTTCCTCAGAGCCTCAAGGATCTCAACCGTAAGATGGGCACACCATTGCTCGCCTGGTAGGATTGCTGGGTGAGTCAGGTGCTCAAAAAACAAGTGTCTCCCTTTTGTCTGCCCTTTACTTATTTTATTGTTTTTAAATTTGATTTTTGGAGCAGCGAGGTCTTGCTATGTTGCCCAAGCTGAACCTGAACTCCTGGTCTCAAGCGATCCTCCCACCTCGGCCTCCAAAGGCGCCGGGATGACAGGCGTGAGCCACCATGCCCGGACTGTTCGTGCTTTTCAAAGAGGCTGAAGAAGACCTTGAATGAGAGTCATCATCTGCTCAGGGCAACTCTGATGCGAAAATAAAGTGCCTACGCTGCGTCTAGCCCATGAGCAAGACAGATGTGTTTCCTGGCCTCAGAAAGATCACTGTCCAGTGGGGGAGAGAAAGACGTGAAGTCACATGACATGCACAGATGGACATGAAGTTACAGCCCAGCTAGGAGCCGCAGCCAAGAGCAGCTTGAGGTCAGAGGGCCGCTGCTTACACTAGCATGTTGGAAAGCTTGTCTGGGACAGGTCAGCAGGCCTGAGCAGAACCAGGAACCCAATCAGAGATGGACCCAAGGCCCCGCCCCAAGCGAAGGCTCGGCAGCCAAGCACCGGGTGGCCTCAGGTGACCGCAGATTGGGCCACCTGCCGTGTGAGCTGTGCCACCCTCCGGGCGGCTCAGAGCTAAGGCAGGCATCCTCGCACGCACAGTCACTCAATTCCCCGAGTCCGGACACAAAAAGCCAGTCCTTCTGCTTGTCACCTGCGGATGGCAGCCCGGCTACTCTCTCCCTCCTGCGGACAACAGGCTCCTGACTTGTCACTTGGCCTTCCTATGGGCTCCAGGGACTGTGACCTTTAATCAACCATCCACGCCAACCGGCAGTGCCCGGGTCACAGTCCAGCACCGCAGACCTGGCTCTGCTCAGGAAACCTGCCCAGGGCCAAGGAAGGCCCACTGTGCCCAGAAGCTGCCCAGCCAACCTCACGCCCACCACGTGTGACGGCCACCTGTGGTCGGCGCCTCCATGTCTACTAGGTGATCCCCACACCGATCTTGTGATGGGTCTCGCTCCTCCCTAGGGAACAGAGAAGGGAGAAGAGCCCAGCAGTCACTGGGGCAGCGACACCCTGTATATGTGGTCAAGACTCACGCCCAGGTCTGCCTGGTTCCATGGACACCTGCCGGCATGCCACCCTTTCAGAACCAACCGTGTGTGCTACGCTGTTCCTTGTTCAAAGCACACTGTTCCTTGCTCCAAACACAGAGCCAAGAAATCTCCCTCATGCACAGCTGCCTACGGGGTCCTCAGCATTTCAATTAACCATTCATTTTTTTTTGAAACAGGGTCTCACTCTGTTGCCCAGGCTGGAGTGTAGTGGCACAATCATAGCTCACCACAGCCTCGACCTCCTGGGCTCAAGTGATCCTCCCACTTCAGCTTCCCAAGGAGCCAGGACTACAGGCACGTGCCATCACACCCTGCTAGTTTTTGTATTTTTTGTACACGGGATCTTGCTGCGTCTTAGGCTGGTCTCGAACCTCTGGCCTCAAGCGATCCTCTCACCTCAGCCTCCCAAATGCTGGGATTACAGGCGTGAGCCACCACCCCCAGCTTAACCATTTGTTCTTAACTCACCCAGAGCCAGTGTGTCACGCCCCACACGAACTCTTCGGGACGCTAGCCGCACCTCAGAGGCACTTAGGTCGGGCAGATGGCGACCCATTTAAGAACCAGGAACACTTGTCAATGGTGACAGGCAGATGACACTCAGCGTGGGGAACAGTGGACTTTCACTTTTCCATCTGTGTCTCAGGCACCAGAACAGGGAGAGGGAGCTCATCCCACACCAGCTGGTTCTGACGGTGGCCACATTCCAGCAAACCCTCCCCTGCCAGCCGGGATGGCCTCACCGCGAGCCCAGTGGACGCCAGACAGAACGTGCACAAGACACGCCACAGGGAGGGGACAGGAACTTACGTACCACAGGAAGTCCCAAGGGGAGCTGGCAGAGACCAAACCAGGCAGGTCTCAGCCCTCACTGGCATGACGGTCCTATGTCCCCGTGGGTATCTGGGCTCCAAGAATCCACCAGGCACTCGCCAGGACCTCCCATGAAGGCTCTTCCAGCATCCCAAGACGTGCCAGGGGTGTGTCATTCCAGCCTGTACGTCCACCAGCTGTGGGACGACCAACCACTGTAAATCCATCAAGCTCAGAAAATCCTGGGACGAGGCTTCACGCAGCAGACAAGCACAGCCATGAGGGGCAACTTTTCAATCTCCATCGGGTCCAAAGATCAGGCCTGCCAGGGACAAGAAGAAACAGTGTTGTCACAATCACAGAAGCAGAGTGGTGCTCATTCATTCTTCCCTCCTCAGAGAGAAACTCACTAAAAATAATTCCCCACTAGGCTGGAGCGGTGCCTCACGTCTGTCAACCCAGCACTTTGGGAGGCAGAGGTGAGAGGATAGCCCGGGGTTCCAGACCAGCCAGGGCAACATGGAGAGACCTTGTCTCTACAACAAATAAAACAATGAGACGGCGTGGTGGCGTGCACCTGTAATTCCAACCACTTGGAAGGATGAGGAGGAAAGATTGCCTGAGCCCAGCAGGTCGAGGCTGCGGTGGCCAGGAGCGTGCCACTGCACTCCAGTCTGGGCGACAGAGTGAGACTCTGACTCAAAAAACAAACAAACAAAAATTCTGGTACCCAGAGAAAGGTGAAGCAGGAGTCAGGGAGGCCTTTGGGTAAGTGTCGCCTCCCATGAGGCAGTCAGAGAAGGAACTTAGGGTGCCCCAGAACTGGCCTGGGCAAGGAGAGGAGGCAGAGGCGAGTTCATAATAAAGATGAAGAGGGGGCCGGGCTCGGTGGCTCAGCCTGTCATCCCGTGCCTTGGGAGGCTGAGGTGAATGGACTGCCTGAGCCCACGGGTCCGAGACCCGCCTGGGCAACTTGGTGAGACCTCATCTCTACAGTAAATCAAAAAATTAGCCGGGTGTGGTAGCCCACACCTATAGCTCCAGCTACTTGGAAGACTGAGGAGGAAGGATCGCAGGAGCCCAGCAGGTCGAGGCTGCGATGGCCGGGAGCGGCCACTGTACTCCAGTCTGGGCGATGGAGTGAGACGCCAACTCAAAAAATAAAAATATAAACAAATAAATAAATAAAGATGAGGAGGGGACAGTGGCTCACGTCTAGAATCCCAGCACACCGGGAGGCTGAGGCAAGAGGATCGCTTGAGTCCAGGAGTTCAAGACCAGCCTGGGCAACAAAGCGAGACCTCATCTCTACAAAAAACAGAAAAATTAGCCGGGCGTGGTGGCGTGTGCCTGTAGTCCCAGCTACGGGGGAGGCTGAGGCAGTAGGATCCCTGGAGCCCAGGAGGTCGAGGCGGTGGTGAGCCGTGGTTGTGCCGCTGCACTCCAGCCCGGGTGACAGAGCCAGACCGTGATTCATGAGAGAAGCCAGCAGCCGCGTGGAGAGCTGACGGCCAGGCCGGCCAGCACACGGCCGAGGCTCCCCCGCAGGGCCGAGAGGTCCGGGCAGGGAGCCCAGAGGGTGAGGGTCAGCGGGTCGGAAGTCGCCCTTTGTTTTGTTTCTTGACCGCGAAACCCTGGCGCGTCTCCAGGCCTTGCGTTGCACCAGGAGCCAGTCTGGGGCGGGGCGGGGCCTGTTCCTTTCTCGCTCATTCGTTCATCTGGGCACCTGGAAGCTCCAAGTACGCCCTGTGTGTGGGCGACGCCGCCGTCTGCCCCATCCGGCGGGCTTCCGCTAGCCCGAGACGCCTGGAGAGCAGGCTGATCCCAACACCCCTCCCCAGTCCCTCATAACGATGACCACTGCCCCACCCGGGATGTTTTTGTCGAGACAGGGTCTCGCTATGTTGTCCAGGCTGGGCTCCAGTGGTCCTCCTGCCTCGGCCTCCTAAAGAACTGAGAGTACAGGCAGACGTCTCCATGACTGGCTTTTTTTTAATAGACAGGGTCTTGCTGTGTTGCCCAGGCTGCCTTCAAGCTCCTGGGCTCAAGCGATCCTCCCTCCTTGGCCTCTCAAAGTGCTGAGATTACAAGTATAAATCACTGTGTCTGGATTTTTTTAATAGACAGGGATCTTGCAATGTTGCCCAGACTGATCAAGTGATCCTCCCACATCAGCCTTCCCAAGTCCTGGGATTACAGGTGTGAGCCACCACACCCAGCCAATGAGCCATCTTCTAGGTGCAGCACCCACAGAGAAACTGAGAACAGGCAGCGAGACTCCCAGTTCCCGGGAGCCTTGGCACACACTCACACACACCAAGAAGCAGCGAGAGAAACCAACGGCCACCCTCCCTTGGACACTTGCAGGGCCAGAAGCAGGCCTCTAGTCACTGGATTCCACCCACAGCCCCGAGCCAGCCTCCATTTCACGGACCGGAGGCTGAGGCTTGAGACCAGCGGCATGCCCAGATGCACACGGCGGAGGCTGGCAGAGCCCACATCCAGCTAGCCTCCCCACCCTCAGGCCTCCCCCTGGCCCTGCCCATCCAGGCGCCACATTTCAGCCCGCCCTGGTGACACCTGCCCGCCAGAGAGGCCTCATCTCTCCCACAACTCCAATGCAAAACCCCCAGCCCGGACTTCTCTTGCAGGCTGGACGGACCAGGTTATGGCACAGAGGACTCAGCTGGCTTCAAGACCCGGAGTGTGAGGCCAGAGGCCTCCTTCCCCGGGGACAGCAGGTCCAGGAAGGCCGCATAGGTGCGGGAAGTAGGTGTGGCTCCCTAGAAGATGGGCATCCCTTCTCATCTGTCTTCACTGGACACGTCCCGCCAATACCAAAGCAAAGCCCTGATCATGGATGCACAGGGTCTTGGGGTGGAGGGAGCAGATCTCAGGCAAGTCACCTCACCTCACTTCATCTTCCAAGCCAGCATGTGATAGGGGCCAGGGTGACGCACGCCTGGCGACCAAAATGGTAGAATGGACTCGGCACGGTGGCTCATGTCTGTAATCCCAGAACTTCTTGGAGGCCAAGGTGAGAGGAGAGCCAGCGCTCAGGGGTTTGAGACCAGCCTGGACAACTTGGCAAAACCTCGGCTCTACTATATATCCAAAAATTAGCTGGGCGTGGTGGTGCGTGCCTGTAGTTCCGACTACTTGGAAGGCTGAGGTGGAAGGATCGCCTGAGTCCAGCAGGTCAAGGCTGCGGTGGCCGTGAGCGTGCCACTGCACTCCAACCTGGGCGACAGAGGGAGACTCCAACTCAAACAAAACCAAACAACAAAATTGACAGGAGTCAGACATCATGACGTCAAGCCAATATGACGTCAGTGTTCACACAAGCTCCCACCTGAGAGAGAAGCCATGACAGAGGAGTGGAAGGATGCCTGCCCTCACCCCACAGCTACCTTGGGGCCTGGGTGGGCTCCCTAAGAGCTGACATTTACACCAACACCTGGAAGTCACTGGGAGAAGTTCCTTGGCAAAAACCACCCATCTGAGGACACTTAGGATGGACAGCTACCCAGAAGCTCAGCTGGTCCCCCATTCACTTGCAAAGCGCAGCTTGGCTACACAGTCAGATGCAGATTGGGGGGTAAATGCCCCCCAAGGAAATGGAGGCACGGTTCCAGGGACACCACACCTAACAAAAAGCACTTCCTGGGGGCTCCTGTCCCCAGCACTTGCAAAATTCACAGGTAATCAAGAAAGATCTTACAAATCAATGAGGGAAACCGGCCAATACACCAAAGGAAAAGCCCAGTTAGCCAAATGCAAATGAGCAAGAAACAGGATGCAGCCAGCCTCACCAGGAGTTCGGAAAAGCCACTTTCACAAGAGGCAGGAGTCCCCTCCTGCCTTCAGAGGCAGGTAGGGCTGCCACAGCAGCCTCTGGCAGCTTCCGTGGAGTGTCACTGGGGACAGAAAGGCCCCTCCTGGGAGGCTGGTGTAGCCCCAACACTTGTGCCTGGGGGCAGTGTGCCGGCTGGTAAGCCCCTTGGAAGGCAGGACAGGGTATGCCTGGGGCCACAGCGCAAGCACAGGGGACACGGATGACCCGCGATGACAAGGACAATAATGCTCATCGCAGACAGCAGGCTGAGTCCGTGTCTGGTCCCAGGCCAGGATCCTTGAGCTCCTTCAGCTGGTTCTCGTAGCAAGTTCACGTCCAAGGGCTTATGATACCCATCAGACAGAGGACAAAAGCTGGTTCGGGGCACCTGTCCTACACAGCCAAGGCCCTACGACAAGGTTTTAAGATGAGGAATGACACCAGACATCACAGGAAGCAAAAAGAGTCAAGAGGCAAGACGCTCTGGAAGCAGGAGGACCTTAAGGGCGGTTGTCACCGAGGGTGAGACGTGGGTGCACCGCGTGTTCTGCTTGAGGCCGTCCTATGTCTTTGGTTTCCACAAATAAACAGAAGAGGCTTGTTGGTCCATTACGGTCTCCTCGGTATCGGGGGCGAGCTGAGGGATGGCGGACCCAAAGCCAGATTCTCAGACCTATCCTGCCAGGACACGGGCCACGTGGCTCTGACAGCACGTCACTGGGCTACACCACTGGGCCACGCCATTGCGTCACGGTTCTCACAGCACACCTCCGGGCCACGTGTTTCTGACGGCCGCTGCTTCCTAACAGGCCAGGAACTAGGCCAGTGGACAAAGACGTGGGTACAGCAGGAACTCATTTCTGGAAAGAACAGCGGAGGAAGTGAGCTTGCAGTTACAAGAGCACACCACGCGTGACAGGAGGACAAAGGTCTACCAAGCGTCAGCCCCTGGGTTTCATTGATGCATCTTGCGACCTCAGAGCCTCCAAGCTCTCCTCTGCCCCTTCCCCCGCCCCCACTGGCCTGAAGCACCAACTTCTCCCAAGACTCAAGTGAAGCAACTCTCCGGCAAGACGGCTCAGGCCACCCAGACGGAGCCTGCAGGCCGCCCCAGCCCCAATGTGTCCCCCAGGATGTCTATGGCAGTCCCCGCCATTCTCGACCACAGGACGTAGTGTCCTGTGCAGCTTCCCGTCAGAAGACGGACGCCGTCAGAGTGAGGACCTTGCTGGCTCTTCTCCATCGGTGCCCTCCAGAGCCTGGCCCTGTCCCCTGTGGGTGGTGGCCAGAAGGACCGTTAGGTGGAAGGGTGGCTGGGTAGGGGGTGGCTGGGTGGCTGGGTGGAAGGGCAATTGGGAGGGAAGGCGGCTGGGTGGAGGG